TAATATATATATATATATATATATATATATATATATATATTATATATATATATATATAAATATAGAAATAATTTATATATATATATATATATATATATATAAATAAAGTGAAATTCCAAGCTCTTTCGTGACTACTCACATTATCAAGGGACAGTTGTTCCTTGTAGTCACGAAAGTCTTTCACAGTGGTTGTTTTGCGCAATATATATATAATATATATTATATAATATATATATATATTATATATACAGTGAGAGACACCTCTCGATGTATATACAGTGAGACACCTCTCGGTGTATATACAGTGAGAGACACCTCTCGGTGTATATACAGTGAGAGACACCTCTCGGTGTATATACAGTGAGAGACACCTCTCGGTGTATATACAGTGAGAGACACCTCTCGGTGTATATACAGTGAGAGACACCTCTCGGTGTATATACAGTGAGAGACACCTCTCGATGTATATACAGTGAGAGACACCTCTCGGTGTATATACAGTGAGAGGCACCTCTCGATGTATATACAGTGAGACACCTCTCGGTGTATATACAGTGAGAGGCACCTCTCGATGTATATACAGTGAGAGGCACCTCTCGGTGTATATACAGTGAGACACCTCTCGGTGTATATACAGTGAGAGGCACCTCTCGGTGTATATACAGTGAGACACCTCTCGGTGTATATACAGTGAGAGGACACCTCTCGGTGTATATACAGTGAGAGGCACCTCTCGGTGTATATACAGTGAGAGACACCTCTCGGTGTATATACAGTGAGAGACACCTCTCGGTGTATATACAGTGAGAGGCACCTCTCGGTGTATATACAGTGAGAGGCACCTCTCGGTTTATATACAGTGAGAGACACCTCTCGGTGTATATACAGTGAGAGGCAACCTCTCGGTGTATATACAGTGAGAGACACCTCTCGGTGTATATACAGTGAGAGACACCTCTCGATGTATATACAGTGAGAGACACCTCTCGGTGTATATACAGTGAGAGGCACCTCTCGGTGTATATACAGTGAGAGGCACCTCTCGATGTATATACAGTGAGAGACACCTCTCGGTGTATATACAGTGAGAGGCACCTCTCGATGTATATACAGTGAGAGACACCTCTCGATGTATATACAGTGAGAGACACCTCTCGGTGTATATACAGTGAGAGGCACCTCTCGATGTATATACAGTGAGAGACACCTCTCGGTGTATATACAGTGAGAGACACCTCTCGATGTATATACAGTGAGAGACACCTCTCGGTGTATATACAGTGAGAGACACCTCTCGGTGTATATACAGTGAGAGATACCTCTCGATGTATATACAGTGAGAGACACCTCTCGGTGTATATACAGTGAGAGGCACCTCTCGATGTATATACAGTGAGAGACACCTCTCGGTGTATATACAGTGAGAGACACCTCTCGATGTATATACAGTGAGAGACACCTCTCGGTGTATATACAGTGAGAGACACCTCTCGATGTATATACAGTGAGAGACACCTCTCGATGTATATACAGTGAGAGACACCTCTCGGTGTATATACAGTGAGAGGCACCTCTCGGTGTATATACAGTGAGAGGCACCTCTCGGTGTAAATATCCTGCCAGGAAAGGTTTTCTTACACCATTTACCTTTCAGTGGGGGTGGGGTGGTTCCTTGATACCGGGGGAAAACTTGATCCAACGAATTGGAATTGCCCTCTCCTTCCCCAGATCATATGTAATTACCTCCCATTCAATCAAGCGCTATATGACCTTGATGAATTTATTTTCCTGTTGGAGGAGGTAATGAAGATTTTGAGTGCTAGGTGCTTAAATATCCCACAGGCTTGTGTGAGTGTTAGATCGGAGTGAAATTATTATTATTAATATTATAATTATGGGGAGCGCTAAACCTGTAGGATTATACAGCGCATGTGGGGGGATGGGAGGTATTCAGGCTCAATTCAGGGAACCGGAGCACAGATCCAATTCCTTAGATCAAGAGCCCCTCACCAGCGTCAAGGAACCTCCCTTGAGGGGATCGGAGTGAAAGCAAGTGTTATTCGTGGCTTGATGTGCCAATAACAATGTTCGACTTATTGTAAAAGGTATGATACAATACCGACATTCTTTTAAGTAGGATACACTAGTGTTGAAAGTTTGAAGCCGATCGGAAGAGGCATTCTTGGTCGCACGGAAACCAAATCTCGCAATGGTGCAAATAAAGTCGACCAGAAGCTACGTACACTACACCAGCGTTGAAAATTTGAAGCTGATCGGATGAGGCGTTCTCGAGTTATAAACAAGGACCCCAATGGAAATAAGTCAGTTTGTCTGACTGTTTTGGATTGTCCTGGGTAATTTATACATGTGTTACTATGTATGATAGTTGTACTTATGTATATCTGTACCTAACCTTGGAGGAGAAAAAATTCAGGCAGCCATTTAAAGTTGCCCTTTCGAGGATACCTAACAAACCACTGTAGGTCATTCAGTGTTAGTTGAATAGAATGTCTTGCCATTTGAAACATTTTAAGAAGACATTTTCCGTCTCCTGCATTTTCGTTTATATCTACACTACAACGCTCATTCCACACGTGGTTGTTTGAATCCTTCAGTCCAACAAAACAATGTTAATTTGAAGTTTATGAAGAGGAAAATTAACCTTTAAATATACTGCAGGCATCTGGAAGTAAGGTTTTAAGTAACAGTAATTTTGTTTATAATTGAATGATGTTTCTAAGTGTAAGTCAGACATTATTTTGTTTTACGATATATACAAGTTGTCTGCTTAGGGCTCGATACGAGGTACTGTTAGTGGCTCTATAAACCCCACCAATAACAGTTATCTACTTCACAAAGTAGGTAGTTATTTCTTGGACAGATTGTTAATAATAATATCTATTTCTACGAGTACATGTACAAGATATACATGCCTAGCTGACATCAGTGACATACTACTCATAGGATGCGACCCACACCAGTCGACTAACACCCAGGTACCCATTTTACTGATGGGTGAACATGGACAACCGGTGTAAGGAAACACACCCAATGTTTCCACCCCTTCGCCGGGAATCGAACCCAGACCCTCAGTGTGAGGCGAGAGCTTTTCCCACCAGGCCACGGGGCACCGTTCTGTTATTTGGGGGATAAACCATACGATTTCTTGAGTCGAGTCATTTGGGGGATATTTGTGAAAATAATTTTTTTTTTTTTGCCAAGAGGGGCACTTCAAAGCCAATGAACGCTTAGTATTGCGGCCTGGGAAATCACAGCGAACAAGAAACAAGATTACAGTAGTCACAATTGATTTTTTATCAAATCACACTGGGCATAGTTAAGTTCGTTAGCTGTTTTAAATTTTAAGTTATAATCGTGACTGATTTCTACTGTAACCTACAGCTAGCCTTTAAATAATAAGATATATTACAAGGACCTGGAGTTTACCTGGAGAGAGTTCCGGGGGTCAACGCCCCCGCGGCCCGGTCTGTGACCAGGCCTCCTGGTGGATCAGAGCCTGATCAACCAGGCTGTTGCTGCTGGCTGCACGCAAACCAACGTACGAGCCACAGCCCGGCTGGTCAGGAACCGACTTTAGGTGCTTGTCCAGTGCCAGCTTGAAGACTGCCAGGGGTCTGTTGGTAATCCCCCTTATGTATGCTGGGAGGCAGTTGAACAGTCTTGGGCCCCTGACACTTATTGTATGGTCTCTTAAGTGCTAGTGACACCCTGCTTTTCATTGGGGGATGTTGCATCGTCTGGCAAGTCTTTTGCTTTCATAGTGGGTGATTTTCGTGTGCAAGTTCGGTACTAGTCCCTCTAGGATTTTCCAGGTGTATATAATGATGTATCTCTCCGCCTGCTTCCAGGGAATACAGGTTTAGGAACCTCAACGCTCCCAGTAATTGAGGTGTTTTATCTCCGTTATGCGTGCCGTGAAGGTTCTCTGTACATTTTCTAGGTCAGCAATTTCACCTGCCTTGAAAGGTGCTGTTAGTGTGCAGCAATATTCCAGCCTAGATAGAACAAGTGACCTGAAGAGTGTCATCATGGGCTTGGCCTCCCTAGTTTTGAAGGTTCTCATTATCCATCCTGTCATTTTTCTAGCAGATGCGATTTATACAATGTTATGGTCCTTGAAGGTGAGATCCTCCGACATGATCACTCCCAGGTCTTTGACGTTGGTGTTTCGCTCTATATTGTGGCCAGAATTTGTTTTGTACTCTGATGAAGATTTAATTTCCTCGTGTTTACCATATCTGAGTAATTTAAATTTCTCATCGTTGAACTTCATACTGTTTTCTGCAGCCCACTGAAAGATTTGGTTGATGTCCGCCTGGAGCCTTGCAGTGTCTGCAATGGAAGACACTGTCATGCAGATTCGGGTGTCACCTGCAAAGGAAGACACGGTGCTGTGGCTGACATCCTTGTCTATATCGGATATGAGGATGAGGAACAAGATGGGAGTGAGTACTGTGCCTTGTGGAACAGATCTTTTCACTGTAGCTGCCTCGGACTTTACTCTGTTGACGACTACTCTCTGTGTTCTGTTAGTGAGGAAATTATAGATCCATCGACCGACTTTTCCTGTTATTCCTTTAGCACGCATTTTGTGGAAATAAGTTCATTACTACATATGAAAATTGTAGTCACCTAAATGTGTGTAGCTGTACTAAATGTGGACCTGTACCTAAATAAGCATATTATAGTTATGTGGTGGAGTAATCCCTCACACGGGAAACCAGGGCTCGATACGGCGTAAGGCTCGATACCTGAGCTGCAGGCCTTATTAACCCAAACAAGATGATGGAGTAAGGTATATAAACCGTAATTTACGGCGTATGCTGTCAGCACAGTGGCCCTGATAAACCCAACAAAGAAGAAGAACCTTCGTAATTAATACTAATAAATTGGCTTATAAAGATTCGTGAATAAAGACTAGGACGTATTAGAATACGTTTCGGTCCCGGGACCTTGATTACTGCTGTGATCAAGGTCCAAGGACCGAAACGTTTTCTAATATGCCCTAGTGCTTGCTCACGTGTCGTTTTTAAGCCGGAGTGGGGTAAAGTTAAGTTGCATTGCCATCCGGATCGTCAGGAGAGTCTACTCCCATATTTTCGCCTTGCTACTAGCTCCAGGACGCGTTGGGGACACGGAACATATATCCACCACTAGCCAACTTGCCAATCGTCGAGGCTTCTCTTCGGACACCGGAAAGTAGGACTTGATACGGCGTGAGCCGTCAGTGGTCCTATAAACCCCGAACCAGTGGTGTAGGTTAGGCTAGGTAAGATTCGTCAGGAAACGGGTCATGTTTCACGACGCGGGTCTTATTCATGACCCGCCACTGGAGCTTCTGGTCATCTAACTGAGGCCTTCCGCTGGCTTAACTGGTCCCTCCTCTTGAAAACCTTATCTTATAGCAAGGTGATGGAGTAAGTTTAGGTTCCATTGGGTGGTTTTCGTTACGTTATTTGCCATTTGCACAATATAATACTTTCTCTAATGTGAAACTCACTCAATATTTTACAATTTAAACTACATTTTATCACCGAAATCTCCCGAGGTTTCACACTCAACAATTACCATGCTGTATAGTCCTTGTGGCTTAGCGCTTCTTTTTGATTATAATAACAATAAACAATTACCACAATTTTTTATGCGGTTTAGTATTTCTCCATTTGTTTACTGGTATATCCCAGGGTAAGTCTTCATAATGCACCAAATATGTGTACCCATAACATTGTGTACCTTCAAGACCATTGTAAGAATTTAAAACTAATAAATAGCTTACTCTCATGGCTCAGTTATAGCACCTGTTTCTCACACACACAAACAACCTGGGTTTGATCCTGGGGCGAATGCAGTTGATGGCCCATGTTTCCATGCATCTATTTATCTTGTTCATTTAGCAGTAAATAGGTACCTGGGTGCTATGTGCCTGTGTTGGGCAGTAAGGAAGTAAGAAGTCACTGAAAAAAGTCTCGGGGAAAAATGTCACAATATTAGTAAGGTAAATTATTAGAGCAGATAAACTTTTATGTTAGTATAGATTGAGTAGCAGGTTTTTAGGTTAGTTTGTATTAAGTTAATTTGTTAGGTTAGTTTGTATTAAGTTAATTTGTTAGGTTAGTTTGTATTAAGTTAATTTGTTAGGTTAGTTTGTATTAAGTTAATTTGTTAGGTTAGTTTGTATTAAGTTAATTTGTTAGGTTAGTTTGTATTAAGTTAATTTGTTAGGTTAGTTTGTATTAAGTTAATTTGTTAGGTTAGTTTGTATTAAGTTAATTTGTTAGGTTAGTTTGTATTAAGTTAATTTGTTAGGTTAGTTTGTAATAAGTTAATTTGTTAGGTTAGTTTGTATTAAGTTAATTTGTTAGGTTAGTTTGTATTAAGTTAATTTGTTAGGTTGTTTGTATAAGTTAATTTGTTAGGTTAGTTTGTATAAGTTAATTTGTTAGGTTAGTTTGTATTAAGTTAATTTGTTAGTTAGTTGTATTAAGTTAATTTGTTAGGTTAGTTTGTATTAAGTTAATTTGTTAGGTTAGTTTGTATTAGGTTAATTTATTAGGTTAGTTTGCATTAGGTTAATTTGTTAGGTTAGTTTGCATTAGGTTAATTTGTTAGGTTAGTTTGTATTAGGTTAATTTGTAAGGTTAGTTTGCATTAGGTTAATTTGTTAGGTTAATTTGTATTAGGTTAATTTGTTAGGTAAGTTTATATTAGGTTAATGTGTTAGGTTAGTTTATATTAGGTTGGGTTAATTTAAGTTAAGTTTGGTTAGTTTGTTAGCAAGGTTCAAATTTAGTTTGGGTGACTTTCCAGCCAGAATTGTGACATTTTTTGACTTGTTGTTTCCCCCTAGATTTGTGAGTGGCATCCTGGGTTTGAGCATGAAAGAACCCAAATGGAAATAAGCCACACTGTTTGGTTTGGGTTATTCTGGAATGCTAATTCTATGAGTTGATAGCCCTTGATGGCATTGAGGGGCCATTGATACATTCCTGGGATCAAACCTGATTGCTTTACATTCCTCATTTGCTGCATAGCCCCTATGGGTTTAACTCTTTCCCCTAATTGCAATAATAATTATTGTATAGATTAATAATGTAGAGATACTCTCCTTTCCCTTGGATCAGATTTGATTGCCTCCCATTTCCTAGGCACTGCATGATTATCTTTGGGTTTAGCATTTCCCTATGAACATTATAATAATAATAATAATAATAAGTTGCTCTTTAAAAATCTAATGGCTTCATAATGAAATATATTGCATGGAACTGTGTTCACTAAGTGGGCATCTTAAGAACACTATGCCAGTGTTATGCAGTATTTAATTATAAATACAGTAATAATATTTGCACTTTTAATAAATTTTTCATTCAGTGTTGCATTTACTTGCTTTGTAGCTCTTAACATCTTCTGTTTCATTTTATTTATATCCTTCTTTCAGAAATGTGGTTGTTTATGTGTTTGTGTGTTGGGATGCTTGTGTTGCCCAACAATGGTGAGGTGTATACAGCCATGACAGACATTGGTCGTCTCCTCACCACCGAGGGGGAAATGATTAGAGCAGTTGAGAATTATATCATTGCTCAGGAAAGCAAGTTGGAGAAGCTTAGAAGGTAAAAAGAAATCTTCCACTTGATATAATCCAGTGCATACTGTGCATTTTAATTGTGCTAAATTTAATCAGTATAAAAATTGCTCAAGAGTCCTGGAATCCTAAAAAGTCTCAAGTAATTTTTCTTATATATCAGAGGCTTATTTATTCCTAAATTTATTTTGTACAAAACAACCAGCATAATTTGTCTATTATACTGGTTGTTTTGTGCAGGGCATTTAATGGAGCTTTGAGAATACTTTGGTATGCACTTTAATGATTTAAATACATATTTGAAATAGTATGCCTTTAATGAAATATTTGTCAGATGAATGTGCATGTATATTAAATAAAGCATTATTATGGGTAAAAATTTTGAATATAGTCATATGCACAAACAAAATTTATTTTGCAACTACCAGTAGGAAACAATAAGGTCTAAGTGTAACTGCCTTCATTTATAGAGATGTTTACGAGATGGAACGAGTACACGATGAAGCTGCTCGTTCTCCTGAGGCCTTCTTGGGGAATCCTATTAATACCTTCCTGCTAGTGAAACGACTTACTGTGGACTGGACAGACCTGCAGAATATTATGACTGACGACAGTATGGGCAAAGGTAAAGGAAAGAAGCCAGCATTAAGTCATCTTTGCTGTATTGACTTTCAAGTTTTTTGTTCACTTAATAAAATTTTTTACTATATATTACTGGATTTATAGGCTGTTCTGTAATGCTGAAGAAAGTGTCTTCTAAACATTTTAGCCTGTAATATCAGGATGGTATAAGCAAGCTACCATAATAAACATGTATTGATATAAAATATAGCAAATGAAAATTAAATACATGTTTTTGTTGCAAATTATACAGTAAGTCATGCACATCACAGTAGTACAATACTAGGAATGCATTTTAAATGTGAATAAATGATAGTCATTGCTAAGCTTATTTTTTGTTACATAAAGACTTTGTATTACCTCTGCATTCTCTTATGTTCATCATTCATTTAACACTATCAGATGCAGTAGTTGTACATGTACAATAATGATATTTTAAGTTGAACCCATATGTACCATTTTAACAGAGCTTAAATCATAATCAGGAAATATGATTTTAATTTTTTACTCCTTAGACTATTAATAAAAAAAATTATATCTTGTTTTAAGCTATGTTGAACAATTTGACAAGCATGGCTGATTTCCTGCATTGGCCTGACGAAGAGGACCTGAATGGTGTGGCTGTTGCTCTTATGAGGCTTCAGGATACTTACAATCTTGACACATCTCAGCTGGCTCGAGGACACATCTATGGCAAGAGACAGGCATATAGAGAACTGACAGGTGGGAAGAATTACTTGTCAGTTTTTGAAGCAACATATTAAAGACATATCTTCTTCTTTCAACAAACTGGCCATATCCCACCGAAGCAGGGTGGCCTGAAAAGAAAAACAAAAGTTTCTCTTTTTAAATTTAGTAATTTATACAGGAGAAGAGGTTACTAGCCCCTTGCTCCCATTAAAGGCATATATTGTGCAGTAATAATTAGTGATCTAGTAAATAAAAGAGGAGCAGTAGTTTCCGCACTGCATTGCAGTATGGAGGGCTGTAGCCTACAAATGTGTTGTGAGTTATGTGTATAAAGAACAATACAGTACTGGGGCATAGTTATGTTTCACACATGTTCATATTAGTCTGGGGAGTGTAAAACTTTATTAGTTCTTAAGTGCAGTGTTTGTAAGTGTGGATGTTTGTTACTTGGGGCATTTAACAGATTGGTGACTTGCCGTTGGATTGTCAAGGGGTGGCAGTAATGCTAAAAATGACTAGAGTTCTGCAGTACAGTTAAGCTGATATCTGATCCAATTATTTACTGTTTTATGACAGTCTATTATTTTCACATGATTGCAGCTGCCGACTGCTTTGAACTTGGTCGCCAGAGCTACAACGGTGGAGACCATTACCATACAATGCTGTGGATGAATGAAGCACTCAAACGCCAAGAGATGGAAAGCAACAAGACAGTGGATCATGCTGATATCCTGGAATATCTAGCTTTCTCTACCTACATGCAGGGCAATGTGAGACAGGCTCTGAAGCTGACAAATGAGCTTTTGGTAGAGAGGCCCAACCATCAGAGAGCACAGGGAAACAAGGTGTATTATGAGGAAACCCTTCAAGCTCAACTAGCCAAGAAACGTGGAGAAGATGGTGCCACCATGGATGAAGAAGCTGTAGAAAAGGTATTTCATACCTGTATTTAATTTAAGAAACTTAATGTCTTGACACAATTAACAAGTTGTTGAGCACTGTATATAGTTATGTAAATTTGCTCTCATTTTTCTTACTGGCCATTTCCTACCGAGACAGAGTGACCCAGAAAAACATTTGCTTCCTAGCTGCATTTCCAGAAGTGGGCATAATCATAGTTCATTAATGATTTTATTGCAAATTTAAACTTTTTTAATTATATTTTAGCTGTTTTTAAGGTGCAGACATCACCTTAGTCACATATTATAGATTAGGTTTAATATATACAGTAGGGCCCCACTTTACGAAGTTTCGCCTTATGGCATTCCACTAATATGGCGATGTCAAATTATGACCAAAATTTGCTATACAGCGAGCAGACTTTCAAATATGGCGCACCCCACCCGGTTTGTTTACATTCTCCGTGAGCGCAACTCTATTATGTCTGGAAATTTTTCAAAATGTCAAGTGTTTTAAAGTTATTGCATATTTTACTCTGATTTGCTAAAAAAAAAAAATTATATTTATGTGTACCTGTACCTAAATATACTTACACACTGTGTTGGCATGCAGGTACACATTAAAATCACTAAGAGACTCTCTACTCAATGCCATATAATCTCTTGGACGCATTAAATGTCGTAGATTACATTAATGTAGACATTTCCTTTAGTCCATCTATGATATTTTTTTTCAAAATTATATAATAAACATGCTACGTAACATATAAACATGATATATACAGCCACAGTATAAAAATTGACATAAATATAAGATTTATTTACCAAGCGTTTGGTAGGAGAGTCGAAGAATTACATTTACATTTTCTCTAGTCAGACACCAGAAACTTAACTAGAAATTTATTCCTTTCTATAGATATTCACGACCCTTGTGGGTTTAGCACTTCTTTTTTATTATGATTATAATAATAACTTGTAATAATAATAATAACTTGTAATAATAATAATAACTTGTAATAATAATAATTTGTAATAATAATTCGTAATAATAATAATAATTTGTTAGAGCATCATTCCTTCTAAAAATTACATGAGAAAGAAAGTGTTGGTCTTTATTTATTCTACTGTATCAGCGTGGAGACAACTTGTACACAATGTAAAGTGTATTGTATTATGGTATAATACAAACGTATGAAAGAACACCAGATGTGTTTGCCTGGTTTGTTTACATTGCATGTGGGTGGAGTGGGGTAGGGAGGGCAGCCTTGGCTGGCTACCATACTTCCCAAACCTGACTTTCTACAAATAAGTCACCTCTCACCCTGCATTAAGACTACAAATATTTTAAGGTAATTAATGAATGTTCTGTATAGGTATTTTATAGCTCTGGGGCGCTTTAATCCTTTGACTGTTTTAGCCGTATATATACGTCTTACGAGCCACCGTTTTTGACGTATATATACTCATAAATTCTAGCGGCTTCAAATCAAGCAGGAGAAAGCTGGTAGGCCCACATGTGAGAGAATGGGTCTGTGTGGTCAGTGTGCACCATATAAATGGAAAACATATTTTAGAAATAGAGTTGATTTTTGATTGGTTTTACTATGAAAAGAACCTTGAAATGGAGCTCAAAGTAGGGGAAATGTTTGATTTTTGCCGATGCTCAAAAGTAAACAAATGATGTCATTTTCCAATAAATGTCCAAGTAGCCATTCTAATATGCAGTCATGAATGGGTTGACATTATTTATACAATTATTACAATATTGCAGTAGTCTGCATAACAGTAAATATCCTATTTTTTGTTTGAATAAAAATTCAAAATAAAAAGCAGGAGTAATATCAGAGGGGCCTGGAGACAGGACTGATGAACAAAGAAAATGTTATTTTAGTCAGGAATGTCTGCATTGTTCATTCTGGACCCTATTTTGAAATTGTCATATTTTTTTAATTCTTGTGAAATTGGCCAAATTGCAAATTTCTGACCACGTTATTAGGTAGTTGAAATAACAAATGGAGTTCTTTAGAAATTCATTTGTTCTGTTGATTGAGTACAAGAAACTGCCCATTTACCAATTTCAACTACCCAATAAAGTGGTCAGAAATTGGCAATTTGGCCAATTTCACGTAAATTAAAAAATTTGCCAGTTTCAAAATAGGGTCCAGAATGAACAATGCAGACATTCCTGGCTCTAAAATAACATTTTTTGTTCATCAGTCCTGTCTCCAGGCCCCTCTGATATTACTCTTGCTTTCTATTTTGAATTTTTATTCAAACAAAAAATAGATTTACTGTTATGCAGACTACTGCAATATTGTAATAATTGTATAAATAATGTCAACCCATTCATGAATGGCTACTTGGACATTTATTGGACAATGACATCATTTGTTTACTTTTGAACAAAATCAAACATTTCAGCTACTTTGAGCTCCATTTCAATGTTCTTTTCATAGTAAAACCAATAAAAATCACCTCTATTTCTATAATATGTTTTCCCTTCTATCAAATAAGACCAAGAAAACGAGAATAGAACCATAAATACTATACGAAAATAGACCACAAATTCGGCGTTTTAATTAAAAAAAAAAATGGTCGGAGTTTTTTTTTCTCATTATGCATTGCGTGCTCCAGGGTTTTTGTATATGGTGCACACAGACCCATTTTCTCACATGTGGGCCTACCAGCTTTCTCCTGCTTGATTTGAAGCCACTAGAATTTATGAGTATACATATGTACGTCAAGCATGGTGGCTCGTAAGAAGTATATATACAACCGAAACAGTCTTAATGTAGGGTGAGAGGTGAAAAGTATTTACAGTGGACCCCTGCCTTACGAACGCATCGCGTTACGTTAAATTCGCCATACAAAGCATTTGAAGGCAAAAATTTTGCCTCACCTTACGTGATTCATCCAGGACACGTCCCACGTGTGGCCTCAGTGCCAGTGTTTACAAGCCAGCAGCCAGTGTGGTTGCATCTACGCATACATTCGGTACAGTTCACATTATCCCAGTGTTTTTAGTGCTTGTAACTGCAAAATAAGTCACCATTGACCCCAAGAAAGCTTCTAGTGCCATCCCTGTGGTAAAAAGGGCGAGAATTAGTATGGAATTGAAAAAAGAGATTAAGGAAATGTGTGCAAAGTGGGTTGAACTGCAAACCTTTATGGATGAAAATCACCCTGACACAGCTACTGCAAGCCATGTTGGCAACCTGTACAATGACAATGTTATGGCCCATTTTAGGAAAGTCTTAAAGGAACGGGAGGTACAGAGCTCTATGGACAGATTTGTTGTGCGACAGAGGTCCAGTGGCTCCCAAGCTGGTCCTAGTGGCATTAAAAGAAGAAGGGAAGTAACACCGGAAAAGGACTTGCTACTTCAAGTCCTAATAGAAGGGGATTCCCCTTCTGAACAATAACTTCCACACTCTCCCCTCCTCCCATCCCATCAATCATCACCAGATCTTCAATAAAGGTAAGTGTCATGTATTCTATTCTTAGTAGAGTAGTAATTGTGCATGTCTTCTTCAGTCTGTGTGTATTAAAATTAATATTTCATGTGGTAAATTTTTTTTTTTTTTTTCATACTTTGAGGTGTCAGGAACGGATTAATTTGATTTCCATTATTTCTTATGGGGAAAATTAATTTGGCTAACGATGATTTCGGCTTTCAGTGAGCTCTCAGGAACAGATTAATATCGTAAGGCAGGGGTCCACTGTATTTGTAGAAAGTTGTGTGGGAGGTATGGCATCCTGCCTGGCCACTCCCACCTACTACAACATTAAGCTCCCTAGAGCGATAAAATGCATATATAGTACACTCATTATTTTTTATTTTATTATTTTATTAACACACTGGCTGATTCCCACCAAGGCAGGGTGACCCGAAAAAGAAAAACTTTCACCATCATTCACTCCATCATTGTCTTGCCAGAAGGGTGCTTTACACTACAGTTTTTAAACTGCAACATTAACACCCCTCCTTCAGAGTGCAGGCACTGTACTTCCCATCTCCAGGACTCAAGTCCGGCCTGCCGGTTTCCCTGAATCCCTTCATAAATGTTACTTTGCTCACACTCCAACAGCACGTCAAGTATTAAAAACCATTTGTCTCCATTCACTCCTATCAAACACGCTCATGCATGCCTGCTGGAAGTCCAAGCCCCTCGCACACAAAACCTCCTTTACCCCCTCCCTCCAACCTTTCCTAGGCCGACCCCTACCCCGCCTTCCTTCCACTACAGACTGATACACTCTTGAAGTCATTCTGTTTCGCTCCATTCTCTCTACATGTCCGAACCACCTCAACAACCCTTCCTCAGCCCTCTGGACAACAGTTTTGGTAATCCCGCACCTCCTCCTAACTTCCAAACTACGAATTCTCTGCATTATATTCACACCACACATTGCCCTCAGACATGACATCTCCACTGCCTCCAGCCTTCTCCTCGCTGCAACATTCATCACCCATGCTTCACACCCATATAAGAGCATTGGTAAAACTATACTCTCATACATTCCCCTCTTTGCCTCCAAGGACAAAGTTCTTTGTCTCCACAATCTCCTAAGTGCACCGCTCACCCTTTTCCCCTCATCAATTCAATGATTTACCTCATCTTTCATAGACCCATCCGCTGACACGTCCACTCCCAAATATCTGAATACATTCACCTCCTCCATACTCTCTCCCTCCAATCTGATATCCAATCTTTCATCACCTAATCTTTTTGTTATCCTCATAGCCTTACTCTTTCCTGTATTCACTTTTAATTTTCTTCTTTTGCATACCCTACCAAATTCATCCATCAACCTCTGCAACTTCTCTTCAGAATCTCATTAATTACCTTAAATATTTGTAGTCTTAATGTAGGGTGAGAGGTGAGTTTTATTTGTATGAAGTCAAGTTGGGAAGTATGAGTAGCCAGGAAGGGCAGCCCTCCCTACCCCACCCACACATAATGTAAACAAACCAGATGAACGCGTCTGGTTTTCGCCACAAGTCCTACAAGTTTCCTGGCTACCACAAGTCCTACAAGCTGCCTGGCTACCGCAAGTCCTACAAGTTGCCTGGCTACCAGAAGTCCTACAAGTTGCCTGGCTACCAGAAGTCCTACAAGTTGCCTGGCTACCAGAAGTCCTACAAGTTGCCTGGCTACCACAAGTCGCCTGGCTACCAGAAATCCTACAAGTTGCCTGGCTTCCACAGGTCCTACAAGTTGCCTGACTGCCACAAGTCCTACAAGTTGCCTGGCTACCACAAGTCCTACAAGTTGCCTGGCTACCACATCTCATATTTATGTTAATTTATTCTACTGCGGGGTGTATTTAGATGGATTAAGCAAAATGTCTATATTAACATTTTATACGATATTTAATGTTCCATAGAGTGATTATTATTGTGTTGTTATTATCATCATTAATATGGCATCTTCAAGACTAATAAGACACTTAGTGATTTTAATGTGTACCTGCATGCCAGCACAGTGTGCAAGTTTACTTAGGTACAGGTACACATACGTATAATTATCATTTATAATATAATAGGTAGTAGGTTGGTAGACAGCAACCACCCAGGGAGGTACTACCGTCCTGCCAAGTGAGTGTAAAACGAAAGCCTGTGATTGTTTTACATGATGGTAGGATTGCTGATGTCTTCTGTCTGTCTCATAAATATGCAAGATTACAGGTATGTCTTGCTACTTCTACTTACACTTAGGTCACACTACACATACATGTACACATTTATTTATACACACTCATCTGAGTTTTCTTTGATTTTATCTTAATAGTTCTTGGTCTTATTACTTTTCCTTTTATATCCATGGGGAAGTGGAATAAGAATCTTTCCTCCGTAAGCCATGCGTGTTGTAAAAGTCATCTAAAATGCCGGGAACAATGGGGTAGTAACCCCTTTTCCTGTAAAGATTACTAAAAAGAATAAGAAGAAGAAAATTGGGGATTTTCTTTCTTTTTTGGGTCACCCTGCCTCGGTGGGAGACGGCCGACTTGTTGAAAAAAAAAAAAAAAAAATAATAATGTAGGTATGTAATCCGCCTGGGCTACATAGCTACACGATATTTAATGTGGCCCAGATCCATATTATTACCATCGACATACAATATTCACTGAGTTTAATCGTTTGTAACAACTACCTTTAGATGCCATCATAAACAAAAGGAGAAGTAATGAATAATTCATGCCGAGAATTGTAAACAAAAGCATTATGTATTAACCCTTTCAGGGTTTCAGACGTGCTAGTACAGCTTAAGCACCAGGGTTATTGACGTACTAGTATGCCTAAATTCTAGTACCCTCAAATCTAGTGAGAGAAAGCTGGTAGGCCTACATATGAAAGAATGGGTCTATATAGTAAGTGTGCGGAGTATAAAAAAATCCTGCAGCACACAGTGCGTAATGAGAAAAAAAAAGCTTTGACTGTGTTTTTGGATTAAAACAGTGACTTTGCACTGTATTTTCGTATGGTATTTATTGTTGTATTCTAGTTTTCCTGGTCTCATTTTATAGAATGGAAGACATATTACAGAAATTGAGATGATTTTGGCTGGTTTTACAATGAAAAGTACCTTGAAATTGAGCTCAAAGTAGCAGAAATGTTTGATTTTTACCAAAGTTCAAAAGTAAACAAATCATGCTAAGCGTCAATACACGTCAACTGGTGAGTCTAATATTCTTTCACAAGTGTGCCGATATTATACAATTTCTACACTAATGCAGTAGTCTGCATAACAGTAAATCTTATTTTTTTGTGAGAATAAAAAATCAAAGTGGAAAGCAAAAGAAATGTAAGAGGGGCGTAGGGACGTGACTAATGAACAGAGGAAATGTTATTTTATTGCCAGGAATGTCTTGTTTATTCTGGACTCTATTTGGAAATTGGCATCTTTTGAAATTTGTGTGAAATTGGCAAAATTGCTAAATTCTGACCTTTTTATTGGATAGTTGCAATCGGTAAATGGGTGGTTTCTTGTACTCATTCGATAGAAAAAATGAAGTTCTAGCGAAATAGTTATGATTTTTGTCGACTAATATGCTGGAATTGGTCGAAAATAGGGCTCAAAGTGGGCAAAATCGCCGATGCCTAAACAACGTCAATACCGCTAACTTCGCGAGAGCATAATTCCATAAGTTTTCCATCAAATTTCATACTTTTGGTGTCATTATGATCGGGAAAAGATTCTCTATCTTTTCATAAGAAAATATAATTTTTTTTTTTTTAAATTTGGGCGACCCTGAGAACAAGTCTGGAAGAGGGCCTGGGGACCCTGAAAGGGTTAAGGGGAGTGACGTAATGTTTTCCCTCCACTCAGCAACCACACCTCCATAGCATATAAACAGCATGTTTATATGCTATGTAACGTGTTTCTTATATAATTTTGAAGAGAATATCATAGATGGATTGATGAAAATGTCTATATTGACATAAAATTACACATTTAATGTGCCCAAGAGTGATTATTATTACATAATGGAGAGATGTGATCATGGAGAATGTAAACAAATTGGGTGGCCCCGCCCCATATTTGAAAGACCACTTGCCGTAGGGAAAGTTTGGTCATAATTTGAGATTGCCGTATTAGCGGAACGCTGTAAGGCGAAATGCCCAAAAGCAGGGCCCTACTGTATTTTGTTTAAATTGTGAGCATCTTAAGTATTTGAAATGCACTTTTATATTTATTATATACAGTATCTTTCCTCATATACTACAGAGATTTGTGTAATGCCTCGGTGGGAGACGGCCGACTTGTTGAAAAAAAAAAAAAAATTATTCAATATGTGCTATGTCATAATTTTGTGAGTCATTGTATACTGTATATATAACTTCTTTCTTTGGGGTATGTGTTCCATAATAATCTATTCACATAAATTATCTGGTCTGCATGGTTCTGTAGGTCAACAGGTCAGCAGCGTGAAGAGTAGATAAGAGAAACAAACATTATTTGTTTCTTGGACCCCTCATCAGCTCATCCACTTGATTTATTCCTTCTGCCTCCTTCCTCAGCTCATTTCCCTGTGTACTGTATGACTCTTATGAGTTAGTGCTTCCCCATGAATATAACAATGATGTTGTTTTATCTGATAAGAGGCATTAAGGTTAAAAGTTTGAAGGCAGTGTTATAATTAGTTTCCCTTTTAAACTAAGCTGGATATTACTTTAGTGAGATGTTTGAAGACTTGTCATTCACAATATCTGACAATGTTCCAAACCAACTTTATGTTATTAGCTATGATGTTGAAAGTTACTCATACAGTAGTGGGAAATAACTTATTGTTCATAGTTTGGTTATTCCAAAAATTTCTAAAAAAAAAAAAAAAAAAAAAAAAATATAATTATGTAATTAAGGGAGCCTTTTTATTATGGAGAGATTGTTTATAGACATAAGTGAAGTTTAGTTTTTCTAAAAAAAAAAAAAAATATCGGTATACTTAAAACTTTTTTATCATGCAGGGTTATACTGTGACAGAGAATGCAGAAGTTGCCAGTGACTGGCAGAGAGAGCGTCGAGCATATGAGCGACTGTGTCGTGGTGAAGGAAGTGTCCCACACTCCATTAGCAAAAAACTGGATTGTTTTTATAAGGTAAGGTTAAACATGACCATTTTTTTTTATTTTTTTGGTAGTACTGCTTACAGAGAGCAATGTTGTATTAAAAAATTAGCTCTGTAGGTGGCAAAAATTAAAACGTAGTATTTTTCTTTTAATAAATAATACATCAAAGCATGCTAGATGTATTATTTAGGAGAAAGTTCCTTTCACATGAGTATCTTACAGTAAAAGCATAGTCTTCTATGCTCATATATACAGAAGTATACAGTAGCTCTTAAGTTTATTCATACTCTTGGTGACATATAGCTGAAAGTGGATTTACTAAGATGCTAGTGTACATTTAACATCTTATGCAAGACAAGCCATGGGGAGGAGGAGGGGGGAATCTGTAGCTCAAGTACTTTTACACTTCTGAGTTCATCATCAGGAGCTGTGCAACATTGCAAGAGAGCAACTAAAGCAGAGAGAGTTCTGAGGATAGCATAGGGAAACTGTGGACTGTGACACATCCGCCCTACGCTACCCTGAGAACTCTCCCTGCTTTAGTTGCTCTCTTGCAATGTTGCACAGTTCCCGATGATGCACTGAGAAGTGTGAAAATACTTGAGCTACAGATTTCCACCCCTTCCCCCTCCTCTGTGGCTTGTCTTGCATAGTTAAAATCGCCTGTCTGCAAATGTTTGCATTGGTATCTTATGTATTCAAGTAAAAAATAAGAGATCTGTATGACCAGTATTGCATTTATCTTTAGCATACCTGCAAAATGTACTGTATTGAGAAATCCAATGATGATACGTATTCGTACACTGGCAGCAGTGTATATATGAAGTTTCCTTTGGCTTAACTTCTCCAGAGAGCTATTCAATCAGTCCTGGAAAATTTCTCCAGTTCTAGGTTGTGTAGCTTGTATTGAGAAATGCAATGATGATATGTATTTGTACACTGGCAGCAGTGTATATATGAAGTTTCCTTTGGCTTAACATCTCCAGAGAGCTATTCAATCAGTCCTGGAAAATTTCTCCAGTTCTAGGTTGTGTAGCTTGTATTGAGAAATGCAATGATGATATGTATTTGTACACTGGCAGCAGTGTATATATGAAGTTTCCTTTGGCTTAACCTCTCCAGAGAGCTATTCAGTCAGTCTTGGAAAATTTCTCCAGCTCCAGGTTGTGTAGCTTGTGGCTATGGACTTTTTTTAGTTTATTACCAAAAAATTTTTAATGGTTCGAGATCTGAGGAGTGTGTCCACCAATCAAGAATGTTAATTTTGTGCTTGCTTGGCCAGTTGCACATTTACAGTGTTTGCCTCAGGTAATTGTAATTTAAAGTTCATCTGTAATTATGTTGAACCTCAGGGAAGACAAACAAGGTTATACACAGTACACAAATAATCTGCTCATAGCAGAATGAAAAATCACCATGAGTTTCATTCTCCTATGTGCTGGGTATTTGTGTATTAGTCCAGTATTGTGATTTTTTATTCTTCAGGGACAGTTGTTGGGTCAAGGGGTGTAAGCTGGCATTTTTTTGGAATCAGTCCATACTTCACTTTTAACAAGGGTGCTAGTATAGGAAGATTAAAAAATCTAATATCACTTCAATGCTGTATGGTGGGGATAATGGCCTCACATCTTACACTTTTGTTTTATTCAACCACTAAAATAAGCTCTAAAGGCCTTTTAGTTATTCAGATGTATTTTAGCAAGTTCAAGCCTTTTCTCCTTTTATGCTTTTTTTTTCCAGAAGAAATTTCATCTACAGACTCTTGGTATGAACACTTGATTTGTGTAGCCAGTATTATGTAGTAGTCTTAGAGATTCAGTCTCAAGATGCCAGTTTCCTTCTGATTCCAGTTGACACCCATGGGATTAATTTTTGTTTTTTTATACATGTCGGGCATTTCCCACCGAGGCAGTGTGACCCAAAAAGAAAGAAAAATTTTCATCATCATTCAACACTCACCATCACTCATACATAATCACTGTCTTTGCAGAGGAACTCAGATACGACAGTTTAGATGTCCCTCCATACTGCCAATATCCCAAACCCCTCCTTGTAACCAAGTTTTCTGTCTATATATCAGTGGCGTTGCTAGGGTTGGTGTCACCCGGGGCAGAATCTTTGGTGTCACCCCCATGAAATCCAAAGGTGGGGGGGATGGGGAAAGTAAACTCCAGTTACATCACTACTGCATGCCCAGTGACTAATGTTTAGCAATGAGAACGTTTAAGGGCCATAAACAGAACAGGAGAATACTTCTCAACTTTATTAATGAGGAAACATAAACTCAAATACCACTTTGGGTACAGGCAATAGATCCTACATTTATTCATCTTCAACAATGCAAAAAAAAAAAAAAAAAATGAAAAATAAAGAAAAACATTGCAGTATCAGAGAAACACTACTTCCAATTTGACCTTGAGTACAGGTAACATCTCAGTGAATCTGATCTTACATTTCCTTGCCTTCAATCCTGCAAAATCATGTATCACATCATCAAAATCCATGATTTTCCCTATATAGGCCTATTTGTACTCTGTAATCATATGAGGCTATATAGAAACGAAGGATTCTTCTCTTATGTTGCTGCAGCACTGTTTTGGGCATTAGTGTCACCTTCTTTAGAGGCTCTCTGGTGTCACCCCTTGATGGTGTCACCTGGGGCGGCTCTCCCATCCCCTTATGACACCAATGTCTGTAGTTATTGATGAAAATCTTGGATGGTATGATACTTGTGGGTGACAGATGGACACCTCCGGCATCATGTTGTGCAGTATTAAGGGTTCCCTGAGCTCAGCAAATTTAAATCTGGGTTTCTATACTTGTTAGTTTTCTATTTTCTGAGTCATTAATTACATAATTCTCTAAAACCCTGTAAATTATATAATTTTCCTTTATATATTATTGCAAACAAAATTATTCCTTTATGTAAAAAACTAAATTGACAAAATTGTCAGTGGTACTTATATGACCCAGTCATAAATCATAAATAACACCTCTCGTATCTTTGAGAGTTGGACATCAGGATAGAAAATTATTAAAATTACAAATAACTCACATATATCAACCATATAATGCAGGTTTAATGCAATGGTTATTACATAACAAAATATATATTTTAAAAGTTCAATTAAGTGTTTCATTCTTATGTACAAAACAACCAAACAATTTGAGAAAAGCTTCCTTAATACGTTGTTTAAGAGGAAGTCCTCTGGCATAACCTCTAACTACATCAGTGTAAGAAACATGTCTCTCTGGAGAAATTTTATGCCGTTGTTTTGTAAAATTTATTACCTTTAGTTTCTTTAACACAGACAGTCCAATGATTATAGGGTGCATAAATTTTTTTGCAACTTCAAAATCAGTTTTTATTGTCTCTGAATCTATTTTTAATTTAACATTTAAAGCTAGATGTGTAACCGGTGACACACCATAAACTGTATTTATGGATAATGGACGTCGTAATTTAGTTAATTTTAGGCCGAATTTATGGGCCATATCCTCTGTTATGATTGACATAGGACTTCCTGTGTCCAAATGGCATATTGCAGTTTGGCCCTCAATTTCTAGCTCTTGGAACATGTGCCAAGGAGTAAATGTCTTGAATAATAGTTTACGAGCCACAAGCTGTGGCTCATCATATATAAATTCGAGGGAGCATTGGTGGCCAACCAAGAAGTCCATGTCTAGAAGACCAAAATTCAAATTACCATCTATTATGTTAACAGGGAGGTCTATTCCATATCCTTGAAAACGTAAAACAATGCTACAGGTTTCAATTGTCCCGTAACTCTTTTTGTTCTTGATTTCACAACCATTCAGAAATGATCTTGAGACTAAAGAGTTTGGAGAACCGGTATCGATGATGAAATATACATCTTGGGTACCACTCCTTGCAGTGAAGCCAACATAATTTGCCCACTGATAATCCAACTTTATGATCCGCATTTTGGTGGATGTCTTTGAAGATCCGACAAATACTTAAGTATTATCAATCGAAGTACAACCTTTGTACATCCAAGAGGAGAGACGAGGTCCTCACCAGAGACTTCACTTAAAAATAGTTACCTTAAAGTTCTATAAATTACTGAAGAAATATAGTCTTCTTAGATCTGACGAATACTTAAGTATTATCGCTGGAAGTACAACCTTTGTACATCCAAGACAAGAGGAGAGATAAGGTCCTCACCAGAGACTGCTCACTTTAAAATAGTTACCTTAAAGTCCTATAAATTAGTGAAGTAATATAGTCTTCTTAGAAACATAGTTGTGGTAGAATCCTGGAAATTACTGAAGTACTATTGAATAGTCTTCTTAGATATTAGTTATGTATATTGTACAGCATTGTACATATAGTGTAGAATAACGTCTAACATTGTAGTACTTGTGTGGTATATTACGTAATGTGTTGTATTATGTAGTGGTGTACAAGCAGTGTGTAGCATTATGTAGTGTATAGTGTAGTTTCGTTCAGCATAGTGTAGTTTTGTTTAGTGTAGTGTAGTCTTGTTTAGTGTAGTGTAGTCTTCTTTAATGTAGTCTTGTTTAGTGCAGTGTAGTGTGGTGGTGGTTAGTGTAGTGTAGTCTTGTTTAGTGCAGTGTAGTTTTGTTTAGTGTAGTGTGGTGTTCTTTAGTGTTGTTTTGTTTAGTGTAGTGTTGTGTAGTGTAGTTTTGTTGATTATAGTGTAGTGTTGTTTAGTGTAGTGTTGTTTAGTGTAGTGTAGTTTTGTTTAGTGTAGTGTGGTGTTCTTTAGTGTTGTTTTGTTTAGTATAGTGTTGTGTAGTGTAGTTTTGTTTAGTGTAGTGTAGTTTTGTTTAGTGTAGTGTAGTGTTGTTTAGTGTTGTTTTGTTTAGTGTAGTGTTGTGTAGTGTAGTTTTGTTGATTGTAGTGTAGTGTTGTTTAGTGTAGTGTTGTTTAGTGTAGTGTAGTTTTGTTTAGTGTAGTTTTGCTTAGTGTAGTGTTATGTGTAGTGTAGTTTTGTTTAGTGTAGTGTTGTTTAGTGTAGTGTAGGGTTCTTTAGTGTAGTGTAGGG